CGTTAGTGATACAAAGAAGCTATTCTATTGGTAGGTACTGAATGTAGCTAGATCCGTTGATGATAATGATTTGTTTTTGAGGTATATAGAATCCGAAAATGATCCAAGCAAAGACCCGGTAGTGTTGTGGCTCAATGGAGGGCCAGGATGTTCATCGCTTGAAGGATTGTTTATGGAAATGGGACCATTCAGGTATTTTATTCCATTTTCTACTTGTCAAGCGTTGCTATATAAGAGGAGACAAGAAGATTCTGTACCCACACACTAAATCATTCATTCTCATAATCCGGCGCACGGTGTTCTCGGCCAATTTTGCGGCACTACAGTATACTCCCATGTCACTTAAGCTCTTAAGGCTGACAAAGGAAGGGCACTTGGTGACCGTGGCCATTTATAATGGTTTTAGTGTCAAAAAATACGCCTTCGAATGCTCGTTCGAAAACTATCTTCCATTTCCGCGAGGCGATAACCTGGATGAAGTTATGATTTTTTATTCAAGAATGAATTACGCCATTGCGGAGGATCAAAATCATTCATCAAAATATTCTTTCCTTTTCAGCAGCTGAATATGATTTAGTTGATCATACATCAACAGTAGTCCGTCTTATTTGTTTTTCAATAGCAACAAACTGCAAAGCAAACAAATTTGGTGATATTGATCGTCCAAAAGTGCGCCAAATTCTCTATAAAAAACCTCATAACTTCCTTTAGAAGATCGTTTCGCAGATAACGAGCGCAAATATAGAATCTGCGTTTCGAGATGCATCATATGGTATACACCACTTTATAAATGTCCGCCATCACGAGGTATCCTTTCCTTGTAAGAAATTGACCGTGCCAGCGCCGTTCATGTCTTGCCAGCTCCGTCAATCGATCAGTACGGTGTGCATCCACGTGGTCGCTGGCACGATGCTGTAACGGCGCTGGCACACAGATAACTCTGGACGCAGTCTAAGATCCCTAGTAATGAGCATAAAAAAGAGATTGTCTGCAATTTATTTGTCATTCATCAATTTTCAAATCATTATCGACTGCAAAAGAAACGTAGCCATATTCTTCTGTTAGCGAGATTTTGGATGCTTGGTATCAACCTTGATATTTTCAGAGCGGAAAACTTTGGCTCTACTATCACACGTAACAAATGGACGTGGAATAGAGTAGGAAACAGAAAGTTTTACATAGATTGAGAAGTCAGAAATCAATCCTAGGTGGCCAGTATCATCTATTTGGATGCGCCAGCAGGAGTTGGTTTCTCTGTGAATTTAAACGGGAGTCTTGTGTATACCGATGACGAAGTTGCTAGTGACAACTACTTGGCAATCATCGACTGGTTTAAGGTAAGAATTTGTATAAAAATAAATTTGTAAACAGCAGGTTGGGTTTATCTCTTACAGAAATTTCCCGATCGACGCTCGAATGACTTCTACGTTGCGGGAGAATCGTACGGAGGTACATACGTTCCTATGCTGTCAGCTCTTCTAGTGGATGACAAAGAGAATTTTCCTCAATTCAAAGTACGCTAGATTTGCAAACTAATGGCTAATCCCGCACGAAGGCGGACGATTTATTGTTGAGAAGAGGTCGCGAAGGTAACGTCTGCTCCAT